TCTCATTTGACACGTGGCGTAAGTCTCAAATTTTAGTCTTTCACTTTTTTAAACATAAACCTAATTATTGGAGAAGAAAAAAAAATCAATAAAAAAAAAGATGAATAAAAAAAAATAGTTTCTTCAACTGCTCCACGATCTCTTCGCCCATGATCTCTTCTTCCTGCAACTAATATAATTCTCACTTCATAAAAAATCAAACTAAATCCTCTATTTGTTTCGTCTTCCCATCAAAAGCCAAAAATTCAATAATCTAGATCCACAGAGAAAACGAAAGAGGCGAGATTGAATCGAAAGAAAAGGAAAGAAATGAAATTGTTGGCGAAAAGGTATGATTCTTCACTTTAGAGGAACCTAAATTATGATCCAGATAACGTGGGCGTTAGTTTTGTCTATCAACTGTTTGTCAAAATGCATGACAGAAAACTTTAATTTGTTATGTTTCTAATATAGAACACTTAGTTGACGAACTAAATTAGATCTATTTTCTGATGCTTTTTGTTTGTTGTGGCCAAAATTTTGCAGAGAGGATTTAGAGGGTGACATTGAAATCAACAAAAAGTCTCAGCATTCAAATATAAAACCAGAGGAAGTCTTAGCTTTAAAGTAGATTGTTTGTGGCGATATTCTGTTATAACACCAAAATTTGATTCCTTTGAACTCTTTTCTTTCCAGGTTTTCCAATAATGTTTTATGTGTGTATACTAAAAAAAAAATGCAGGGTTCTCATTAATAAATCATTTTTGCATATTGTCGCAAATCTCTATACTATTAAAAGAGAAGTACAAATGAAAATGGGTCGGGTTAAAATCAGAAAATTGACCGAATTTCTGAAATCGGATCTTTGAATTTTTTTTGGAATATAAATTTGAATTAATAATGAAAAATCGAAATAAAATCAAATATTTATGGAAATCAAATAAAATCTGATTATGCTTATGGTAACTAAAAATAAAAGCATATTCCGAACAATATTATACATTAATTACGTATAATAAATTTGTTCATATATTTTTGGGACTAATTCCATAACAATCAACGTTTTTGTCATTAATTTCGCTCATTTTAGCCAATTATCATTAATTAAAAGATATATGAAATACAAACCTGTCCCGCGAATGTATGCGGATTTGCGGGATTGTCCATGATTTTTGTTTAAATAATTTTAAAGTAACCAAAATTGAAAATACTACTAAAATAAATAAATAAATAAAATACTATTAAAAGTTTGTTTAAATTATCACATGTTGAATAAATTATAATTTTATCAATAAATACTAATATGCGGACTGATCCGCCAACCCGCGGATGAAAACCGATTAAACCTATGACCCACTTCGAATTAATCCATGTGGCCCGCTTATTTGCGGGTTTAATATATTTTCCCAAATCTGCCCCATAGTGAGATGATGTGGGCTCGACCCGCGGTTTTTGACCTATTTTGACTGCTTTAATTCCCATGAATCATCTAATTTTCTACTATAATATATCAAAATTTTATCTTAAAATACATAATATATAAATTTTGTACTAAATAAAATTTAACATGTGCCATAGTACGGCGTTATTGTGAATATTTATAAGTATACTACACGATTCGTTCTACTAAAAAACACACACAATATTAAACGCAACGTATATAAACCAATATTATCCCGCGGTGGACCGCGGGTCCGATCCTAGTTCTAGAGTTAAAAGGCATGCCTAATTCTCCAAAGTTCTTTTTTATGAATCAATCTTAACAGTTTTTATTCCATTTCTCCCATGGACTTAGATCTTTAGTAAGAAATGTTATTCGGATGTATTCATCTTTCATACCTAATTCTTATTGTAAAATTGTTTACCTTACGATTACAAAATTTAACATTAAAAGTTTTTAATATTTACTAATGAATATTACATTTGCTCAATACATTCAGACTTTGATTTCAACCTTCACAAACAAGAGCATCAAGATTATGATTGTTTTCGAAAAATTATTCAAAACATTATTGTGCTATCGTTGTTTGACCCATACGAAGTACGGGCTTAACACTAGTAATAAGATATTGTAAAATATACATCCGGATCTAGTTTAAATTTAAAAAGTAAAAAAAAAATGAGTCAAGATGATTTATAAAGGAAAGAGACGACAGTTATACTCTCACAAAACTTAACGTAATTATCTCCCTCACCTTCCCCACTCTATTCTCGGCTTCGCCGGAGATTTATACTAACACTGCAAAATTCACTCACCTTTCAATAAATCAAAACCCCTAGTTTCGCCGGAAATCTCTCAATTCCGTTGGAAAATTCTTCTCGATACAATCTCTCCTTGCTCACATTCATAACGAGGCAATGTTGATTTCTCAATGTCGGAGATGACAGCTGCAATTTCACCTTCTTTTAACGCAAACACTAAACATAACAAACCACCGTCGTTTCCATCGGAATCATCAAATCGCCGGCCAAAAACACGAGACGTAGCATCACGATACCTCGGCGGTGCTTCTTCTTTATTTCACCAATCATCACCGAAAAGATGTCAATCTCCGACCGTTACTCGACCGGTTGCTACAAATCGGCCGAAATCAACACCTCGTCGTGAGTCGTTAGATCGTGGAGAAGTTTCTAAAGCGCAGAGAATGTTGTTGACTTCTGGGAGAAGCTTGTTTGCGTCGTTTCAAGCGGATTCGTTTACAGGGAATGAGAATAGATCGCAGTTGATTTCGTCTCCGATTACTCCAGTGAGAGGTACGAAGACGACTTCTTCGGCAACAACATCTAGAAGTGGTGGAGGTAAACAAGAGAAATTGAAGCTCTCTGATCAATGGCCTAGGTCTTTGCAACCTAATTGTTTGAGTAGAAGCGTAGACTTTACAGATACTAGGAAGAAACTAACCGGATCTGGCAATGGTGTAGCTAGAGTTCTGCAGAATTCCATGGTGAATAATAGACCGGTTTCGCGTGAACGGAGAGATTCATTGAGTGTTGATTTAGAGACAGAGAGTGTTTCTTCTGGAAGCTCTAATGGAAGAGGGAAAATGTTACTAGTTTGTGGCAATGTGGTTAAGGCGAGAGTTTCGCAATCGAGGTCGCAGGATCGGTTAGAGACTAGCTCACATGGACTGAGGAAGATATCTGTGGATAGTTGTGTATTGTCCCCAAAAGGAAGCCAATTGTTTCCAAAAAGTGAGCAGATTCGACCTGTTTCACCTGGTAAATTTGGTATGAATGCAGCTTTGTCGAGTCCGAGAGGAACCAGCATTGTTAGAGGAATAAGCCCTTCGAGAGGCGTTGTTCCTCCAAGAGGGGTTACTCCTTCAGGCAGAATGAGTCCACTAAGAGTGAGAAGCTCGATGAGTAAAAATACGCCTTTGATTCCGAATTTTGCTGTGGATGCTAAAGAGAAGATCAGAGATAATGGAGTTGCTGATGCTCACTTGTTAAGGCTATTTCACAATAGATTGCTCCAATGGCAATTTGCTAATGCACGAGCAAATGCTGTTATCTCTGCACAAAAGATGAGAGCGGAGGTTAGCAATCCTTTTTGTCTTGAATGCTTTAAATCTTTGATTATAGATTAACACAATGTGTTTCAATCAAATTTTCATTTTAACATTCAGAACTTAGAATGAGACAACCACTGTAAGTTTTAGAAAATCCGTTAGTTTCAATCTAAACAAACTCGAAGGCATGTTTTGAAAATTCGAATCTATTATGTTTTCCAGGCTTGTCTATGCCACATATGTCTTACTGACTGAATTTTGAGTGGTTAGTTTTTAATTGGTTGTCAAGGAGACGCCACAAACTCAAATGGAACCCTGTTGTCGTTGCAGAAAAGACTGTGCAATGCATGGATAAGTATCTCTAAGCTATATGATTCTGTCAGAGCGAAAAGAATCGAATTGCAGCACCTGAAGCAGAGTTTGAAACTGATATCTATTCTCAATAAGCAGGTAAGTTAATCCGATTTATTTTTTCTTATATTGAACCGCCTTAGTCCTTGTGCTCTTTAAGTAACACTTTCTTATTTTAGGTTCCTTTGTATGTTATGCTTCTTACAGCTTTGGGACCTCTTTAAATTTTATTTGAATCTTACTTAACAAGAAAGTTAAATTTTTCACATGCATATGTATAGATGGGACATCTAGAAGAGTGGTTGGTTATGGACCGGGATTATATGGGTTCTTTAGTAGGAGCTGCTGAAGCGCTAAAAGGCAGCACACTTTGTCTACCTGTTGATTGCGGGGCAATGGTTTGGCTTTTCTACTCAAAAGGTTTTTTTTTAGTACTGTGTTGGGAAAACTTTTGTGATACTTGCTGATGATAAATGATACCAATTGCAGGTAAATGTACAAAGTGTTAAGGATGCCATTTGTTCAGCAGTTGATGTTATGCAAGCAATGGCATCTTCCATATGCTTGTTACTGCCAAAGGTAACCATTTTTTGTTCTCTAATTGTGTTTAGTTTTGGGGTCTCTTGTACTTGAATAATGTTTAGGTCGCAACCTTTTAACGGAATTGTTAAGACAAATAAAATGTTGAGTAGAACACTCCGTACTTATATGACTGCGCACATCTCTCGTTGTAGCCAAGTGTATATTCCAGTAGCTCTTCTTATACATTAGTCTCTGACTAGAGTTAGTGGCTTAGAATCCGGTCTAAGAATAATTTGCTCCATAATTTTGTCAACATTAAGTGATTAAGGGAAGAGGAATGTAAGAGCTTTTTTACCATTTATTGTGTCAATAGTTATCCATATTTGTATATTAAAAAGTGAAAGCCATTTGCTCAGGTTGGGAAAATAAGTAGCTTGGCAGCAGAACTTGGCCGTGTGAATGTCAAGGAGGAAGGGATGCTCGACATGTGCTGGGACCTTCTAAACACAATCTCAGCTCTGCAGGTACAATATCTCAATTTCATTATCGGTATTTCCCCTCTATATCTAGAGATATGGTTATTTATTTTTAAAATATGCAGGTAACGGAATGCAGTTTGAGGACACAGGTGACACAGCTACAATAGTAAAGTGTCAATAAGTTAACAAAACCGAGTGTAAGTAAGAATGCAACGAGATCATCTAATTCAAATAGAGGCCAATTCGCTTGATAGTTTAACAATCAGAAAGTCAGTTGTAAATATTTTCGACTCGGTGTTCTAATGAATTTAGTATACTGTTGCTACTGTTGTTCGACAGATACTAATATTTACATCGTATAGAGCCATCCTCCAATTAGTTTTAGGTAGACAATGAACATCTTTAGACTAAGATTTCTTAAATATCATTATAAACTCTCTTATAGCCTAAAAGTTTTTGCTTTCTATTGTTATCTTCCTCAAATAGTTTTGAAGGTTAGGTAACAAATAAATTGTTATATATTTGTAGAAATATCTAAATAATTTTATGGGATTTTCTCTGAATACATAGATATTATTTTATCATGCAAAACAATGGAAACATACAAAATTTCAATCAAACTCATTCTGAAAAAAGATAGCAGCTAAACTCATATGTTATCAAGAAAATATGAATATTTTGTTTGGTCAACTAAAACTGTAAATCAAATACGTTTTCCTCTGATACAAGATTTTTTTGTATTGGTAAAAGAATCAACAAAATTGTTCCTTGAAACAGAAATTTGATATTTACATTTGATAAACTAAGTCTTCAACAAAGACTTACTTCAGGCGAGGCTTCTTCATAGCCATCGGACTCATCACTTCGTCCTCCAGCGAGAATTCCTGCACCGGCGTAATATTAAGGTCAAATCTGCGGTGGCTACTGCTGCTGACGTGGCTAGTAGACCCCACACCTTCCGAATTCGAAACGCCACTGTCGTAGTGGCACCGCTTATGGCCGCCAAGAGCTTGACCGGTGGCGAAAGATTTCCCGCAAACCGAACAAACGTGAGATTTCACGGCGGTGGATAGTGTCTTATCAATATCTCCACCGCCGTATAAGCCCTGCTGGCTCGCCTTATGACCACCGAGAGCTTGGTAAGACGAAAACGTCTTGTAACAAACGCCACACTTATAACCCGGCTTCTCCTTCGCCGTCACAGAGTCAAGATCACCGCCGTCCCGAGCAAGAAGCATGAGACAGAAAGCTAGATACTCTTCTTCAGTGAGACGGTTGTTATGATGATCAGTTCTTGATCGTTTGGATCGTTTCTTACCTTTTGTCCACTGCTCAACGCCATTAAATCTTGAGGAATCATCGACCAATCTTGGTGAATTAAGAGCTTCGAGCGCCATTGTTACAATACTTAAAACCTAGTTTGAGAGCAGAGAGAGAGATATATAGAAGAAGGTGAAGTGTAGGGAAGAATCTTGAGAACAGAGGAAGTTGCGTGAGAAAGAAGAGTAAGAGTGGGTGGCCAAATTGGCCATTTAATTAATTAGTTGCAACGAAATATGTGCGGAGCAAGTTGTTGTTGTAAGTTGTAACGAAAGTATGTAAATTAAAATAGTATTTAAAAATTTGGTGAGATTGGAATATATTAATTTTGGCACGTTTGGGGGAGAGAAATGTTACACAAGTTGGGACTTGAGAGTTGACATTTTGAATCCAACTACATAATAATGATTGCTTCTTTATAACTTATAAAGACCGTATTTTACAATGAAATTTCATCTAGCTTTTCATTTATGTTTTAAGACACTTTGATTATATATGTAGTAATTTATTTTAGTGGAGGGACGTCGTACCTTCGAGAGTTTCTGAACAAACCCAATAGCATCACTTGGTCCAAACATTTGAAAACGGACGCAATATGTAGATTATAATGAGGAAACTTTGAATATAAAAGGTGAATGGACGACCATAACATTCCACAACAAGAAACAAAGAGCTTACTAAATCCCACAACCCAATCGCAGCCAAGAATTATGAAGTTTTGTCTCTTCGTTAGTTCAAATGCGTAAATGTCCGGAGTTGCAGTTACACTAAAATAGATTCAACAACTTGTGTTATGAAACGAAATAAGAGTTATGGTGTTTTTCTTTTATTTTGGTATAATGATCTTGTTTTCAATATTAGGTTTTGCGGGTTTTTTTAACAATAGGATTAGGTGTTTTCTTATGTTAGAATCTAAGTTGTATCATTTTTACTATTTATGTTATAATCTAAATTGTATCATGGCTTATATAATTAGGACTTTATACAAATTCTAACAAAATTTCCAACAATTAATCTAATTCTCTAAAAGAGACTTGGGTTAAAAACCTTTGCAAAATCATATCTCTCCCTTTTCTCACGTTACGACTTAGGAGAATTAAAACGAAATTAGTGGCACACATCATGTTAGATACTAACAAACCATAACATTTCGGAATGACTAACAATTTCAAGTCAAGAATAATGTCTACAGTTGCAATAATCATGAAGCTAGGGGTCAAGAACATGAAAAAAAGGTTGTACATGCGAGGGCTAAATTGCCACATCTAGGATATGGGTTCAAGATAAAAACGGAAAGCAAAATAATCATTTAACCTTTGGGCTCAACAATAATAGAACTAAGGGTGCTAAATAATAAATTCTTAACGGGACCTTCTCATTCCGTGATAATCAACAATAATATGATGATGTCAAATCATTTCGCTTGATTAAGCTAGTTTATTTTAATGATTCTGATGACTATATGTGTGAAAACATTTTGGTAAGCCATATTGCTAATTGAAAAAAAAAATACTACTTATTTTGTTGAATTATCCTTGAAGAGTGCTATTGGTCCGATCTCTTCACAAAAGGAATACAAATTTCATACTTTGATTTCCATGTACACATCATGCAAGTATGTGTGCTATAAAGAAGGTTCATAATGCTATTTGCTTTGACACCCAATAATATTATCTTGTTCTTTTGTATCATGTTGGTTTCTTTTGATGTAGATTTATTAGCACTTTTGTATCATGTTCACCTTTCTCACAAGGATGCGGAAGTGAGGTTATAATTCACGTTTTTAACCATAGAATTATCAAGGTAATAGCTAAAATAGCTTGTCTTTATTGTACATTAATCAATTAATTTAACATCTTTTCTAAATCTTGTGGATTCTTAGGGATTTAAACCGTTTGGGGATCCATTCATGTTTGTCATTCTTGAAGGTGAAGTCTTACAGAAGATGAAGAATCGAATTCAGAAGAAACTTCATGTCCCCGACGAAGAATTTGCCAAGATGGATATCCGTTTGTTGTTTAGCAATAAGTGGTAAATATTTGTCGTATTTTATTGTGGCTAATTGTTTTGTTTTGTGTGTTTTAGTGGAAATTTGCATGTATGAATTCATCAGCTATCCAGTACATGGAGGATTTAGATGATGTTTCAGGATTTTTAAGCTAAGAGGAGATTCGATAATTTTTCAAAATTTTATCCGAAGGTTAATTTGTATATCCTAAATTTTTTGTGGAAACAGAAAAAAGGAAGGGGAAAGAGAATGTACCTTGGCTTGGAGCACGGGAGGCAATCGTGGAAAGAAGAGGTAGAAGGAATAAAAAAGATATACTTGAATGTGGTGTTCATATATCGGACCAAAAACCTGAAAATACTAAAAGACATCAAAAGCTACATGTTCTCGACTAAAAGACTCGATAACATAAAAAAAAAACCCCTATAAAATGTGTTTAAAATATCACTTAACATATACCAACTAGAGATAATATTGGTTATATTTTATCAGAGCCGAGCACCGGCCTTGAATACAAGCAAGGTACAGCTTGCTGCCGCTCATTGTTGATTTATTAATTCGGGCGTCATTTTCTAGAAAGAATCATTGATTTTGTTAGTAAATGTGCGTTGTATGATAACAAGAGGTCGCAAGGTACACCCTGCAACCACTCTTTTTCTCTTTTTTTTTTTATTAGAAGGAACACCGAATTTTTTTCATAGTTTCATGTTTCTCATCCTGAGGTTAATTTTGCATTTCTTAAGAAATTTAAGAAAACATAAAAAATGAATGTATTTTAGCTTGGAGCACAAGAGGCCGTAGAGAAAAAGTTGGACCAGTGTAATATTTAATACAATTCAATGAGATAATTAAAATAAAAAAAAATAAACTCAATGTGCTCACAAAACGTCATAACTAAACATTTGCAATTTATGAGCTTGCTTCAAAATTAGTTAAGGTTATTTATCAAATTTTCGGAAAGTAAATCTATCTAAGCTCACTAACTAGATTGTCAATAAAGCAAAAGGCTGTTTCACAAATTTAGAAGAATTTTAAATATGTTCCGAGTATCAAAACCCTAATGATCAATTCCTGAATCCCTTTTAAGAACCCCTAAACCCCAATAATAAAACTACCCATGCATAACGATTAACGAAAGTACAAAAATGAACGATTATGAATAAATGAGTACTGAAAGCAAGAACAAAGTTTAGATGAAAAAACCAATTTTTTTTAAAAAAAACGTAATGAGAAGCATAGAAGAAAATATCTAATGCAAATCTAAAGTCGTAAACCTCTCTCGTGCGTGAGATTAACAATTGTAAGAAGATAAGAGGAGAGGGAGCTGTTTGTTGAGTGGTTATTTTGCCCACATATGTTCAACAATCCGTAGCTCCCTTTATTGTTCGATATATAGTATATTTGTAGATTACTTGTATCTTCTCCTAAGTTTATATTTAGGGTTATATTTTTTTTGATAACTCAGGTGATCCTAAAAGCTTTCTAGCTGCCCCGATTCAATATATTTGAGAGCCTTAGGGCAAAAAATTTTTTTTGACCTATTATTATATACAAAGAGAAAATTTACTTAATTTTTAAAATTTTTGCGGAGTTTTATAGTAAAAATTGTTATTTTAAAAATTTTGGGGCTTTTTATACATTTTCTTATAAATAATTAGGCCTCTTAAAATATAATTCTCATATTAATAATATTTTTAAAAAATATTTGGACCTTTTTTATATATAAATTTTTTTATAAAAAAAAAGCCCCGGACCGTCGCACCTCCACCGTACCCATCTGAGCCGGAGCTGCTTTCTAGACCCAAAGACTAATCCTGGGGAACCATGTTAAATCACTCGAACCCCGGTGGCCAATGCTACTCGAACCCAGATGGCGGGAATTACCTCCCTTTACCACTGGACCAAGGCGACTTGGTTTATTTAGGGTTATATTATCGAGTACTGGGTTCATTTGAACCGCCACTTGGCAAGCCCAATGAAGTGTTAATGATTCGTAGGCTTGGTTCCACTAGCTAGTTTAAAACTCGCTACCGAAGCAGGTATACCAGCAAAGTTTGGTGGCCTGAGCACTTACGTACAATCTTGGAAAATATATGGGTCAAGGATCATGCATGTCCTTTCACACATACAATGTGTGCATGTAAGCCTTTGGTTTCCTTTCACAAGCGGAAGGGGCACCTTTTGGGAGATTTTGCAATGGGAACGGAAAGAGATTTTGAATGGTTATTTTGCCAACGTATCGTGAACTGATCAATCATCAATAGCTTAACAACAGCTAGTATATATTTGTGAGTAATATTTAGTAAAGAACTTTATAGTCTAGTAACCGGAGGTATAAAAATAAGTCTAACAACCAACGAAAAGCTAATCCGTAAGATTTAATGCATTGTATCTTAACTAAAACATAGACACAAGAATACTTTTCCGAGCTTTGTTTCTTTGTTTTTATAATGGACAATGATTTTTGATTTATTAAATTCTGTGTATGTATGTAAGGGTGATATTAAGACAAGCAAACGAGTATGAATCTCATCTTGTCGGAATCTCAAATTATTCCGTGCCGTCCTTTGGTCTTTTACTATCTCTTCGTTTATTGTTTCTTATTATAGGAATTTTTGAATAAAGCTGATTAGACAACGACCACATTAGCATACAACATGTTCTAGTCACGAGAAAATTGTTGTTTAGACTAAAAAGTAGCTCTTCTATATTGTTTAGTATCCTCTTTACGCATTTATTTCTTTTTTGGTTAATTTGATTCAAGTTCTAGTTAGAATAATTTAAAAATATTGTAGTTAGTAAAAATGTTGAGTTGTGAAGTCAAAATGTTTTGGACTCGCTGTGATCCGACATTCGGACATGCCGCTAATCGTGAATCTTTTTCTTACTGGATGGATGGACACTCCAAACTCCAACGCAAGATCAATCATGTTTTGCGGTAAGAAATTAACATCTGGACTATAGTATTTCATTGACTATTTATTTTCCTAAAAGTTAGAAAACTAACAAAACAAGTTCATTGTCACAAGACATTTTCTACATAACGTGCATTGGGGGCGATCCATATATTATTTCTTTACTATCTTTGTGATTTTGCGTACACAAAAATGTTTAACGTTCATTGAAAAACATGAATCTTCTATATAGAATATGCTAACACTAATGTACTCGTCATGCAATGGAGTGGCATAACCTCTTTGACTCTGTCTAAACTTGGCTTTTATTGACCCCACAAGTTGACTAATCGTATTTGATCATGCATGGTAGGTTAAGAACATTAGGACTTGTTCAATATACAATAAGAATAAAATCCCTGATTTTATAATCAGCCGTCAAATATTTTTATTCCTTCTCAAAGTTATTCTCCTCAAACCTCTAATATAAGCTAGCACGCTGCTATACACAAATATAGAAACGCACACTATGGAGAATGAAGCATTCGGTATGGAGAATGAAGCTTTTGTAGATGGTGAATTGGAGTCTCTTTTGGGGATGTTCAATTTTGATCAATGTTCTTCTAACGAATCGAGCTTTTGCAATGCTCCTAATGAGTTTGATGTTGTCTCTTCTTCTGATGATTTCTTCCCATTTAGTAAAATTCTGCAAGGGAACTATGCGGCCGTTCTTGACGGTTCCAATCACCAAACGAATCTTTATGATGACTCAAGACAAGTAAGTTCAAGTCAAAAATGTTAATTTTCCTATATTTTTCTTTTGCAATGAGCTAATGATAACGGTTAACGCAAAGCAGGAGCTGGTGAAACCAAGGAAGAAGCAAAAGATAAGTTCAGAAAGCAATTTGGTCACCGAGCCTAAGACTGCTTGGAGAGATGGTCAGAGCCTAAGCAATTATAATAGTTCAGATGATGAGAATGCTTTAGGTTTAGTGTCTAATACATCAAAAAGCCTAAAACGCAAAGCAAAATCCAACAAAGGGATAGCTTCCGATCCTCAAAGCCTATATGCTCGGGTATTCAGGAAACTAAACTAATCTTTTGGTTGCTGATTTTTAGTTGTTAGGTTTTATGGAATAATAATGTTGATGAATGTTTCAGAAACGAAGAGAAAGGATAAACGATAGGCTAAAGACATTGCAGAGCCTAGTTCCTAATGGGACAAAGGTCGATATAAGCACAATGCTGGAAGATGCCGTCCATTACGTGAAGTTCTTGCAGCTGCAAATCAAGGTAACGGCTTTTGTCTTGTTGGAGTCTTGATCGTATCTTGTACTGCAAGAAACCATGTAAAAATCTTTCCTAAACCGTTTTTGGAAATTTTGCAATGTAGCTCTTGAGTTCAGATGATCTATGGATGTATGCACTTCTTGCTCACAATGGCCTTAATATGGGACTACATCACAATATTTTGTCTCGGCTTATGTAAGACAATATCATTTGGAATAATATAACTTACTTGGTGTTTTGTTTTGGTCTTTGTTCATGACTATAGTTATTTTTTGTTCGAGTTGTTCATTTTTTCTGTCAATTTCGTTCTATGAACTTGACACTCTTTATGTAATTATTATATGCTAAAGTCAATTTGGACTAACAGCATTTTAATTTTAATTTTTATTTTGAGATGTACCTTGAAGTCATATATATTATTTCAAGGACTACCAATATTTATTTAGATCTCAATTCAATATGGTACTAGATGAATATCCACATTTTTTTCGTGATGCTATCATTCAATTGTGTTCATTAAATCTGATATAATATGACAATGTTTTTTTTAAGAAGCTCTATTATCATGTCATTTGGCATCCTATGCATTTGATATGTGTCCCTCTCCAATTAATGATAATTAGTGGTGATTAATGACAAGGTTTTTTTAAGAAGCTTTATTATCATGCTATTTGGCATCCTATGCATTTGACATGTGTTCCTCTCTAATTAATGGTAATTAGTGGTGATTAATTTGTAATTATATTGTGGAAATAAATGAAATTTCAAAAAAACAACTAAACATTCGTTTCTTCTCTTCTCTGAGCATATCTTTCTAGACATTATAATTAAGTGTCATTTTTTACCTTACGTTACTCTATCTAATAAATGAAAACCGTAGCATTATATTAATTTACGTAATGTTTTTTCTTCACATTATGTTTTCATGTTACAAATCTCTTATTTAATCAATTCTATAAAATCAAGACACTTGGTGTGTTGTTCTTTTAACGGCGGGAACATTCTTCAATGCTCTACAAGAAACTCTCACTTCAGCTCAAACAATGATTATGTTTCTAAATTAACTTCTTTTTTATTTAGTTATTTGAAATTTACGTTTTCTTCTCTCTCACTCATCTTCATTTGTGCATTATCTTCATTTTAGCCAACAATTGTGTTGTAGAACATAAACGACACTGCTGAATTTGAGGTTGGATCGTCAAAAAATTATGCGCTTGTATATGTATGTTTTCATTTAAGTATTGTTTACTTTTAAATATTTTTAAAATATGATCAAGCAAAAATTAACATTATATCCAATTGGTACAATGCATTTCTTAGTTTTTTGTTGATTAGCTAAAACATGATTTATTTTCGTAGATTGGTGTTAGTGATGACTAATACTTATTTTGTGCATTTGTTTTGTTCATGCTGTCATAATATGAATAGTAAAAAATGACACTTTGATTCGTTAAAATTTATTGAGCGGGTCTGGTAAGATATAAAATAAATTCCTCAAAGCGGTGATATTTACTTTTTATCTATTTTATTTTAGGAAAATCCTAAATACCAAATGAATTAGGATTTAACCCGCGGAGCAAAATTATATTTTCTGTATTTTATATAATAATTTATAATTCATTAGAATTTTAAATACATACTATAAAATAATTATTTCTCATTTACTTATTATATTATAATTAATATAGTTGAAATATATGAATATATTTTTTTGAGTTGTTGTATTTGTTTACTAAAATGTGTTAATTTGTATTGATGTACTTAGAAGATTTGTAGGTGTAGAAGTGATGTAGTGTTAATTAATATTGGCAACCATTTATATTCATGGACTATTATAATAATTTGATATTATTTTGTATCTAAAATTTTTACCCCGCGGGATATTGCGGATTAATTTTTTAAAACTAAAAACTTAAATTTTAAGTTATATTTGTTTTCTTAATATTGTTTGGTTTGTTTAGTGTTTAAGATAATATCACTATATTTTTATTTTTAATTCTAGAATTTCACCCGTGCTACATCGTCCTGTATTAATATCAGCCAAAACTCGTCCCATCATATAACTCTGTCCCATAAAATAAAACAGCATTTTGTTATTTTCTTTTTAATAATAGTTTTATTTAAAAGACATATAATTCAAGTCACTTTAAAACTTTGCTTTAAATGGTTTACATAATATATATATATATATATATATTTAATTGTTATAGAGTTCAAATATTATATACTTTTTATAGAAGTTAAATACTATAAATACTCTAAACATTTTTAAAGTTTAAATATTTATAATTTTTAAACTTCTTATAAATTCATATAAAGTTCAAATATTCATATTTGAAACTTCATAAAAGTTTTAGTTATATAAAAATTTAAAACGTTTTATAAAGTTGAATTTTACAAACGTTTAAATGACTATAATATTTAAGTTTTCATAAAATTTAAATATTTATAATATTTTGAAACTTTTTAAAAGTTTCAATAAAATAAGGAACCGGAATAAACCGGATAACAATTTTAATTTTGGACGCCTGATAAATCAAGCTTCCTTCTCATTTGTTTTTTTTTTTCGCCATCCTTCTCATTTGTATTCAGAATCATTTTGGTCACTTTATAATATGACTCTGAACCATTGCCCAAATTTTTAAGCAATGTGGGACATTGTTTGAGTAATATATGTCCGTTTTTAAAATTTTGAATCACATTATATGCAAAAAAATATATTATTTTATTAATTATATGTATTTTACATAAATTCAAAAATAAATTAAATATAAGATCATATAAAAGTGAAAGAAGAATCATATATTAATGTTTAAATTAGGTAGAGAGGTTTTAGGAAATTAACAATTAATCAAATTTAGAAACAAAATCAATTTGTTACCATATTTTGAAGCCACAATTTCTAATAATTTGTTTCGAAAATAATTTGTAATATTAATTAATAGATAAACATCTATAACAATGACATTCTCTTGTAAATAATTGCCAACTCAAAGATTTATTTCATATTTGTACTTCGAAAATGTATATATAGATTCAAATTGAAATGGAACAATGAAAGATGTACGTATACATTTTTATAAGATCATTTGCCATTCTATTTTCTTATAAAGATTTTACTTAAAAACTTAAAATTCATTCTCAAAATTCATCAATGTTCTATAACGCATATCGCACTAAATCAAGTATTCTTTTAATGTTGTCTTTTTCTACAATTTACCTTATTTCCCACAAATTTATATTAAACAATTAACAACAAATTATCTTATAATAGTTTATTTAAAAATATTATTTCATATTTAATTTGACTATAAATCATTACATAAATGAATACTATTCGAAAAGCAAAGTGTAATAAAATTATTAAAATGACATTGTAAATTGAGGAATTGTTAGAAATGCTTTTTTCCAATACCTCTTTTCAAAAATACAACCTATGTAAAACCTTTTTAAAAATTTTTAAAAAATCTAAGATTTACCTAAGTAGGTATGTAACATTATAAAAGCATACAAAACAATATTTATATGTATAAATACATGATTAAAACTTATAAATACCTTATAAAATCTTATACATATCATCTTATATATTTCTAAACTATTTTAGTTTTTCTTATAACTTTGAATGATGAAAGAAGAAAACAAAGACAAAATATAGGATTTGTTTTGAGCATTTAAAGACAAAGAAAAAGGACCACATGTCGTGAAAAAAAAAAGTTAAAAACTTCATGACGAGTTCATTTTTAAATTAGAATTAATGGTCAAACTCTTATCTACACTTTTGTTATAGAAAAGAAGAAGGAGAAGATGATGATAGAGTTGAAGGATTAAATCTAATATTTGAGATTATGATCACATATTTTTTCGTTGGAAGATGGATATTTTTTCTTTTCCAAAAAAAGTCTACTTTTTATTCTTTGTTGACCTTTTTTCCTTCAGAAAAAGTTTATTACATACTAATTTTTACATTCAAAATAAATTTCATAATATATATGCCAAATACTTTCTATTTTTAGCCACTCTATACGTACTTTACTTTTCTTTATAACAAAATTCTTAAACTGATAATAAAAGAAATAAATAAAATATTAAACAAATTCATGTATAATTATTTGGAAGGACATCAAAACCTACTATTGTATTATTTATTTTGCAATCACATTTTTACTCAGTATTCCACTTATCCCGTGGGTTTCTCTCTAGTTTCATATATATATTACCGGTAATTTTCATACTTTTATTTTGGACGCTAGTTTTTAACATAATTACCGTTGTATATGTGGAAGTCGAAACTAACACAATCAAGATTTGTCTAGGGTTTTATTTTAGGGATACGATAATCGTGAATTCTCAAAGAACAACAGAAACGATTGATACCAAAGATGGTGTTCTTGATATTATTAATGAAAAGATGATTTTGATCGTACAAGAGTTGATCGTAAAAGAAGAGGTGTTTGTGCTGTGAGAGCTTTGCGTAGTGTAAATTCTAGAGCGATATCGCTTGCCTTTGCTTGAGCCTTGAGTCTCTTTATATATAGGTGATAAACCGCCTCTCCAGCGATATTCTCGGAAGATTTCCATTTATCTTGAAGTCGGCTCAGAATATCGCGGATTAGGATAGTTTCCTTATTTTTCGGAGTCTTTGGGAGATTTCCTGATTCGAATCGATCCTTCTAGATTCTCTCTTATCATTTCCGGGTATATCGGAAATGATCCTTCTTGTTCGGAAATGATACCTTGCTTGGAAATGGTACTTTGAAAGCGAATATTTACTAAGTCTTTACCTCGGGCGATGATGAAGACTTCACCTCGGAGAAGCTTGTGCAATCGGCTCGGGTACACAGGAAGGACTGGCTCGGGCACTCTAGGATGGCTTCTTCGGGTGTCCCCGAGGCGATGGGCTCAGACACTCCCGAGGCGACCGGGCTCGGGTACCCCCGAGGCAATTGGGCTCGGGTGCTTGAGACGTCTTGTTAAAGTATCCCCGAGGCGATGGGCTCGGGTATACTAAACCGATTAGATGGATATCCCGAGGTGAATGATGCGATGCCCCGAGGTGATCACTGAAAGACTCCCGAAGTGTTCTAAGTCTGGCTCGGTGCCGAAGGGTGGAATCCGACCCCAACAGTTAGCCCCCCAGCTCGTTAGTCTGGAGAACCAAGCGTGACGAGCTTTATGACAGTTAGGCCGAGCCGTTTA